AACGTCTAAATATCATTTTGAAAAATAAATATCAAATTACGAAAATTGGTAAATTATTTAGAGCCATAAATGTTCTTTGTATATCTAAAATTTGACATTTTTAATTTTTAGAAGCGTTTTAAAGTTATTTATTCACCMGTTAAATAAGAAATTCTCACCAAGTGATTACCTTAATCTGTTGTCATTCAAGAACTTCTAATTGTAGGTACTTGATATTTTCATCAAATTTTTATCTTATCATTTTAAATACGTATTCAAATTTCAATATTTCAATATTTTGAGTTAATAATAGACGTTATTTGAAATTTTTTTACTTTTTAATTCTATGAATATAAATAAAATTTTATTCATTAGGTCAAAAAATTTGATAATTTAATTAAAATGCCGCATATGTTGTAATATACTATTTCATAAATATTTTTTTTTTCTAGTGCTCCGTGAAATATTGTAACAGCCCTGCAAAAATAATGTGCAATCGATGTAAATTGGCGAAATACTGTTCCGTAAAGTGTCAAGTAAGAATATTTGAATATATCTGTTACAACTATACAGTTGTTACTTATTATACCAACTAATAACTTTTTTCTTCTTTTAGACACTTGATCGGTTTGAACATAAACGTYTGGATGACTGTGAATAGCTGAAAAACAAAAGGCAGACTCGATCTAAAACTTATCCATTATATATTATATGTTTAAATAATTTAAATGTGGCATAATATTGAGTTATTCTTGAAAATATATTTACTAAAATAAAAATGCATAATCTAGTATAACTTAATAATTTTGGGTTTTTGTATACTTTTTTTTTTCCAGAGAGTGAGCACAAAAATAAAGAACTGATTCTTGGTTAGGTTAGGTTTATAAATAATATATTTGTTTATCTGTTTTAATAAGGTACTAATAGAGGGGAAAATTCCAGAAGATTGGAGAAAAAGTTTTAGTGTACCAATATTTAAAGAAAAGGGAGACATACAAGATTGTGGGAATTATAGAGGAATAAAGTGTATGAATTATAGTATGAAGATTCGGGAAAAAGTTATAGAGAAGAAAATGAGAAGTGAGACATCAATATAAGAAAATCAGTTTGGTTTCACGCCATTGTAAAAATAATAAAAAGCTATGCATGRTGTTAATATATTTGCGTATGACAGAGTGCTAACAGAAGTTTTAAAGAAGATAGTTGTTCCAAAAATRTACATAAATAAAAGGATCGAGTACTTGTGTCCACAGTGTGTGTGAAGTAACAGAAGATTTTAATATAGGATTAGGTGTGTATCAGGCTTTAGCTCCAAGCCCTTACTCATTCTCTATGGAAATGAATTAAATTTTTAAAGAGATACAGGGTGAGATACCTTAGTGTATGTTGCTTGCTGATGATATAGCTTTGGTATGAGAAAATCTGGATGATCTAATAATAGGTTGGACGAGTGAAGGTTAGCCTTTGAATAAAAGGAATTGAGGATTAGTAGAAATAAAACAGAGTTTATAGAGCATGTATTTTGAGGAATACACCGAGAAGTTGAAGGGATGATGAGACCAATGATAATAGGTGTTGATATGATAGGTGAATTCGATAGCTTTAAATATTTAGGATCGTTTCTAGAAAAGGGCGGGGGCTTTGGCATGAATATACAACATAGGATTAAGTTTGGGTGAATGAAATGAAGAGAAGTGTCGGGCGTGTTATGTGATAAGAGAATTCCAAAGAGTTTGAAACGAGAATTTCACAAGCGTAGTGTGAGACTAACCATAGTATATGGTTCGGAGTGTTGGACAGTTGACGGAAGGATATAACAGAGTATGAGTGTGTAGGAAATGAGAATACTGAGACGGATGATGAATATATTGTATGTTGCGTAATATATGCATATGGATGCGAAAACCATAAACGAATGCACAATTTATAGTAATAGGTGATATGAATATCGATATCAGAGGAAAGGTAAATAACGAGTATTTAGACACTATAGCCCAGGGGATGGGTACAGTTGTAAACTGTAGTTAGGCCACAGATTATATAAAACCAGATGGTGCACTCCCTATTCGGCCCATGTAATTCTCAAAAATGCGAAAAATCAAAACCTACCTCAAATCAGTGTCACCACGGATAGGGAAAATAAGGCTTTATTATAAATTATTGTTTATTAACTACGCATCACTGACTTTTTTGACACTGTTCAGCCGT